TGCTGGGAATGGGAGAGGCAGCCATTGACAGGGCTGGGAGGGTGGGTGGGTGATGGGGGCTTGTGGCAGAGCCCCCCCACACACAGCGCGGGGCAGTGCGGGGTAGCGAGGATCTCCCCACCTGCCTGGCAGGAGCCGGTGAGTGTGGGACTTTCTTTTTTTTAAGAGCCGGGACACTAGGGCCAGGCAGAGCAGCCATTGATGGGGCTGGGAAAGCGGGTGGGGGATGGGGCCTGTTTGATTCGGAGATTCGGCCAATTCAGCAGTGGCCATATCTCCAAATCAGATTTGGCCGAATCGATTGGGACAGTGATTCGAATCACCGAATCAAATCACTGTCCCCTGAATTGACTGAATCCAAAGCAAATACTACCTGTTTTGCACAGGCCTAGTAAAAATGTATTTTTATGTGGAGGATTTGAGGCAGCTATATTCCTTATAATTTCTATAAGGAAATTAAAATATCTGTGACGTGGTCTGGTTTATCTATCAAAATAGTATGAAAAAGCTATTTCTAACATTTTGGTGAATAAATGGAATGTCTATTATGAACTTAAGTTACTTTTATGCTTTTAACAAATTATCCTATTGAGAATGTGATTAAATGTGTATGGAAGTATGGAAGGACTTGTGGAAAAATGTGTCTTTTATATTATAATGAAAACTGGGTTTCTTCAAACCGCACAACCCTGATACTGTTGATAGATCCATGGGAAATATTCAGCATGTTCAGTGAACAACTGAAATCCACTGGTTTGAGTGGATTTTGCATGGGTACTACATGAAAATGTTTACACCTACTAATATTAAAAAAATCACTGTTTATGGTTAATAGGTTGTTACCCCAGCTGCCCTCCAGAGTATCCCATTTATGATGAGTATTCCAAAAAATGTGTGACAGAAGATCGCTGTGGTTGTTATATGAGTGGAACGTATTATCCACCATCCACAGAAGTACCCACAATAGAGAACTGTAAAAGATGGTATGTAGAAATAAAACACTGCCACTGCATCCTTGCTACCTGAATCAGGAAAGCATCTAAGTGTGTGTTGATACTGAATAGAATTTAATAGATCTTAAACACCTGCTTAAATACTATTACATTTAGTGTTGTCAGTTTAATTTAAAAATGGTTTTTAATAGTACAGACTAGTGAATTGCCTGTCAAGCATGACAGGGGAGATGGCATGGGGGCAGGGGACACAGCACTGCTACTCACCACCCTGCGCTGCCACCACCTCCCAGGAGCAGGGGTGGGGTAGCTTGCCCCACTATCCCCTCTGTTCCCCTCCACCAGCAGCCTGCACTGCGGCCGCATCCAAGGGATGGCTTTGCCCCTCCTCCCCCTGGCCCTGCTTCTTGGAGGTGATGGTGGTGCAGGGTGCTGGCAGCACAGTGCTGACCTTGCCCCCCTGCTCTGTCCCTTCTCCATCCCTGCCAGCATGGCAGTGCTCCGCCACACCAGTCCGTTACCATGATGGTGTGGACAGAGATGGGTAGTGCCACCGCTGTCTCCAAGGAGCAGGGCCAGGGGGGGCCCCGCTCTGTCCCCTCAGTCCTTACTGTCATGGCGGTGCTCCACCATGTGTGTCTGTCTGTGCAGAGCATTCTGATTGGTTGTTTCAGTCAGCATTTTGATTGGCTGCTGAGACAATCAGAGTGCTCCAAAAGCATTACAGACAGACAGATGGACTAAGGCTTTTATTATATTAGAATTATGGGCAAGATCTACAGGAACTATATATCAGTCATCTCCATATAACTGTGGTGCAACACCAATTTAGCCAAGGTAAAAGTCAAACTGTAGAATAAGTCTGTGAGGTACTATACTTGGTATAGTAACACTGTAGTTAGTCTTTTGTGTGTGTGTAGCTGTTAACAGAATCCTGAAGACCTCAAAAACTGGAAATAAATAATGGGGAAAAAAGAGAAAAAATGTATCTTTTTCAAGTTCACCAATTCCCTGCACTTTTTAGCTCTGGTTGCTTGCGGGGTCTTTTACACAGCACCACTTTATACTTTGGCTGTAAAACTGAAAGGCTGTGCCTGAAACTATTTTCAGTCCAGCTATTGAACAAGTCCAGATATCAATTTGATTGTTTCCTTTTCATAATGTTGTCAAAAATATCATTAAATAATACTTTAAGAATATGGGGGTGTATATATAGTGTGTCTCTGCTGACACTTAAAGAGCCAAGGGCCATTTGCCTAACGTGCCTTAGAGCGACTTTTATCATAGCTAGAACTAACTGGAAATCTCTGCAGTACTGTGCTCTCTAGACAGACTCTGTTTCACCATTAGCATACTCCTAGTTGTACTTTGCCAAGACAGAGAGAGGCTGTGCAGAAAAATGAAGCAAAGAAATTTAAGGGTGCATGTGTTTTTCCTTATGCTCCATCACGTTCCCTAAGGTCAGCCAAGAGTGACCTGCTACAAGGACCATCAGTATGCCAAGTCTGCTTGGTGAGAAAACAGAAAGGGTCATTATCAGTACTTACTCCTCAGCTCTGCAACTTCTTCCCTCTTTACACAATTTGTGAGGGAAAGAGGCTAATTATCTCAAGAATAACTATTAGAAGTGAGTTGGTTGTAATAATTTAAAATAATAATCATGATATCAGAGCAAATCCCTTCCAAAGAACTATCCAGTCACATTGAAATGAAATTTTGAATGATTAAAATAATTGTAAATATTCCTAAGAAATAACTATAGTGATAGCTGTTGGGCTGCATGATTTTCACTTATTTTTTTTCTTTTTAGTGTCTGTGTTTCATCAGGAAAGATTACCTGTACAACTCTCCCAGGTAAAGAAAATTTCTTTTTTTCCCCCTGCAAACAGAAAAGGGTAAGAAAACAATGACATCCATCTCTTCTGTATGATCATTACAAAATCCACATCAGATTTTGTAATGATCAAGAATGACTCACAGGCGATCAAGTCAGGATTGTGGCAAAAGATTATTTGACAGCACTTTTTAACCTTATAGTTAGTCCTATTGGGTGCCTATACACGAGCAAGGAGGCTTCTCTGATGTGCTGTAATTACAGTACATTGGAGCAGACTCAATTCATCAAGTTTGCTGGAGCATGGTAATTACTGCACTCCAGCAGCTTCCCACATCTTGTGTATCACCTCCTGTCCCCTCCCCCGCTTCAAAATGGCAGCGGGGGCGCTTTATCTAAAGCTCATTCAACAAACTATAGCTATCATTGTAGTTATTTCTTAGGAATATTTACAGTTATTTTAAATACACTGTTTGCAGGGTACTGTTTGCATTCAACAAGTTTTAGATAAAGCACCCCCACCACCATTTTGAAGTGCAGGGACACTGATACATAAGACTCTCTGGGTGCCTTAATTAGAACAGCTCTCTTCAATTAAAGCCCCCCACCCCCCGTCCCAGATCACATTTATAAACAACCTAAGAATCTAAGGAATGTAGCAAAAAAAGAGTGAAATAAGACTACTTTCTGATTATGTCTGTGATGCCTGTCCCTTCCTTTCAGGTTTTTTGGGTAATGTTCCCCTCCCCACTTATTCAAATGTCCTAATTTTGAGTCCAATACTACATTGGGAACTGTTTTATTTATTTACTTGTAAATAAAAATCTATTCTTGATAGTCATTTTATGTACCTCACCTACATAGGGCTTTATTGTTACGTAAGTTGTGGCTTCCTCCTAAATGTCAATATAAATTAATGATGATTCCTGGCAAATCTTCAGACATAACCATTATAGCTGCACACATCACATGTTCAAACATATTTACACTAGGCAATTTTGTAAATGTTTAGGTTTGTGATTGTACTTGACCATTTTTTTTAGCAGAACACAACTCCACAATAAGTTCTTTCTTGCAGGCTGCCCATGCATCATCGATGGAAAAATCTATAATGTAGGAGATACAGTTGAACAATTCAGAAATGGATCAATGTGTATAGACTATGTATGTGAAAATAATGGGTCTATAGTTCCTAGAATGGTCTACCCTTGTTCAACACCCCAGCCTCATACAACTACACCTACAACTACAACCTATACTACTACCACAGGTAAAATTTCAGCAAGGATGCATATCAGCTTCTAAAGTTTCCTAACTAGGTTCAGAGCTTTTTGGTATCTCATACTTTACATGATTACTATTATAAATCCAATGAGATGCAGCACAGAGAGAAGTTGCCTTAGTGTTTCAGTGGAAGACTATGAATTAAAGGATCTCGGCAGAGGTAGCGAGGCAGTGAGGAAGAACATGGCCGGGAAAATGATGACCTCTCATGTCCAGTCCTTGTCACTCTCCTGCCCCTGCTGCAGCAAATTGTTCAGGGCAAAGATTGCGCTTATAAGTCACCTGCATACCCATACAACTTAGCCTCTATCCTGCCTTCTCTCTTTTTCCTCTCACTTCTTTCTCCTTTTTCCTCTCTTTCTCCCTTTCTCTTTTCTCCTTCCCTTTTTCCTTCACGCTTCCTTTCTCTTGTCTCCCCCCACTATATGTGGTCATCTTTACTTGTGAAGGACAAACAATGAATTAAATGGGCTTGTCTTAATTTTGTGTTATTTTTAAATACTATTTTAATTTCCCCACATCTCTTAAGATTATATTGTAATATTGGTTATTTTTTCCTATTACAGTTTCCACAACAACCTCAACAAGTACAGCTACAAGTAAGTTTCTTATTAAAGAAATTCTTCATACTAGGTCTTCCTAATTAAGGGAAAGGGAAGACAAAGAGGTAACTATGAAGTACAGACATACATTTTAGCTTTAGAATAGAAAGAATGTATGGGTTATTTTAGAGAGAAGGGTGGAATATGCAGAGGTTTTCATTAGTTTGAAAAAAGCTTCTAATGCCACTTATGCAAAAAACCCAATACAATATAGATTCAATTACTGTGTTCTTGATTCAGTTAAAATCTTGTGTTGCAATAAGTATTTTCATTGCCTAAAAGATTATTACATTCAAACTAGGTCTCTGAATTTTATATCTGTTCTTAAGTGATTTAAAGATGCCATATTTTCAATTTTCCTTGCAGCTACATGCGATGATGAATGCAGCTGGACTAAGTGGTATGATGTCAGTAAACCCACAGAGGGTGAAGATGGTGGTGAATATGAAACCTATGATGCAATAAGGAATAAAGATGGAGATGGTTTCTGTGAAGCTCCACGTAACATTGAGTGCAGGCCCCAAACCAGATTTAATTTAAGCCTAGAAGATGTGGGCCAGAAAGTGTCATGTAATATTACTTATGGGCTCATATGTAAAAATAAGGAACAAGACAAACCCTGGATCCCTTGCTATGACTATGAGATTCGGATTTTTTGTTGTAAAAAGAATCCTGGCTGTGGTTCATCTACCACATGGACACCCACTCTAACCACAACCACACCAACACCCACTTCAAGCACCACTAGCACACCGACCACAACCATTAGCACAACAATCCCTACGACTACAACAACAACAGTTTCAACTTCAATTACAACGCAAACACCGACACCAACTACCACACTAACACCTACACCAACAAACACTCCAAGATCAACACCTACAACAATCACAACCACTACAATGGTACCAACACCGACACTGACCAGAACTACTACATCAACTCCAGTCACCATTACCACACCAACACCTACACCAACCTTCACCACGACTCTAATAACAACACCAGGAAGTACTACCATGCTGACATCCACACCAACCACCATTACTACATCAATGCCAACATCCTTCACAACAAATCGTCTTCCAACTACAACTAGTAGCACTCCAGCAACGCCAACCACCACCACTACCACCCTGACACCCACACCTTCCACCACTGTCACACCAACTCCAACAACCTCCATTACTGCAACTACAGGTATGAGATGGGTAGATCCTGCATGTGCTTATTTTCTTGTAATTATTGAAACCCCACTAGCAAAAACTAGTGTATTCTGGAGACATCAAGAGATATGGTAAGAGAAATCACCATGCAATGATTCCTGATTTAGCTGGTTAATCCATGGTGACATGGTTTGGGAAATGGGTAGTATTAGATGATCATAAATGGCGGTTCCTCCTTTGCCCAGGTTTATCTTGACCCTAGGCCAATTTCATTGTGCCCCCCCACTCCACACGTACACTTTCTCACAATTGATGGCCCCTCTGTCCTGGTCATATGCTTTGGGAGTGAGGAAGAGAGGGATTGCTTTAATCTTGCTCAAAATGGGATGAGGATTGCTTTGTAAATCTTGCTTAAAATCTTGTTCTCCGATGTAATGTAAATGTACAGAATATTAGCTAGGAAGCAGTAGAAATTCTACCCTTTCACTGGTTGAACTTTTGATTTTACACTCTTGTTGTAACCTTCACCTTTCTTCATGTCTACATGATGTAACGTTATATTGTATGTATATCACTCCTGATGTAAAAGAATTGTAAACTGTATTAGAGAGATTAAGGTGCATCTTGGCAAAGTCATGCTTAAGTCACTCTCAGCTGGACAACTTCACTTCCCATTTTTCACTCATTGTCTTTCCTGCCAACCATGACAGTAACTCCGAATAAGCATTTGCCCAAACTACTGAGGCTTATGTTAATTGTTTGGCTATCAAAGAATGAGAATCTGTTAAGGTGTTCAGCATGTAACTTAGAGAGTAACCGTTGATGTAGATTCTGCATGGTTGTTCCTCATCATGCCTAATGCACCACTTATTTTCTAAAGTAATGGAAGTTCTCCTTATGAGAATGAAAAATGCTTCAAATCTACTTTGTTCAGGGGCAGATATGGCACCTGTTAACTCTTTTAAGCTTTTGCCATTGTGTAGCATCTGGAGCAGAATGTCAGAGGAAGGTCGAAGATAGAGTTGAGCCATCCCACCTATTCATGTTCCTCCTGACATTGTGCATGGATACATGTAACAAATGTTGAGCTGCACTCTTTCAGGTCCACAAGACAAAGGTAGTTGGGGTACCCCTGCTCTCATTCGGCTCTTGCCCAATTCTCACCTTGCTTCAATGTGGTGACTTGAGTGAAATCACTTATTATTTATAGCAGTGTTTCTCAACCAGTGGGACACGAAGGTTGTGTAGGTGGGACTTCAAGTCATTGCCCGACTGAAAAAAATCAAAATTGTTTGCGCTTCAAATAGATGAATCAACAGATATCTCAACCAATGCAGAAGTGGGGTTTTATTTGTATCTCGGTGGGACCGAGGTTGTCTGACAAAATGAGTGGTGGGACATAAGATGCAAAAGGAAGGGAACTGCTGATTTAAAGGACTGTAATTGTGTTCCATTCCATTTATTGGTAATTGTGTTCCATTGTGGAATGTTTGTGAGTTGAACTGACCTGTTCTCAGTCAATGACTTGCCTGTGCATAGCTCTCTATAGCATTTCCCTTGTTGTTGTGTCATCTTTGTCCCTCTTGACTTTGTCTACAGGCTGCCAATGCCAGTGTACCGAGTGGTTGGACGATGATCACCCAAAGGTAAAGCCAGGAGAGGACACTGGGATAAACAAAAAAGACTATGGGGACTATGAACTCTTGGACAACATCATACACAAGAGGCCCTACCTGTTCTGTCCGGTGGCATGGAATATTTCATGCAGAGCACAGCAATTCCCTCATCATCCCATAGAAAAGTTGGGGCAAAAAGTGGAATGCAGTGCCTCCAAAGGACTTACCTGCAACAACAAAGACCAGGTCGGGCAGTTGCCACCTATCTGCCACAATTATGAAGTGAAGCTCTGCTGTTATGCAAGCCACCCTTCTTGCTGCATTTCTACCACATGGCACACGCCAACCACTACCTCCCCATCAACGTCAGCACCTACCATAACCACATCAACCACTACCACGTTGATACCCACGCCTTCCACCACTCTCACACCAACGTCAACAGCCTCCACTTCTGCAACTGCTCAAGGTATGAGACAGGTGGATGCTGTCTGTGCTTATTTTCTTGTGATCATTGAAACCTCACTAGCAAAAACAAGTGTAATTCTGGAGACATCAAGAGATAAGGTAGAGCAAAATCACCAGGGATCCCCTAAATTCCTGATACAGGTGGTTCCTCCACTGTGACATGATGTGGGAAATGGCTAGTATTAGATGATCATAAGTGGTGGTTCCTCCTTTGCCCAGGTTTATTTTGACCCTAGGCCAATTTCATTGCGGCCCTCACTCTACACACTCTTTCTCTGAACTTACAGCCCCTCTGTCCTGGTTATATGCTTTGGGGGTGAAGAAAGTGAGGATTGCCTTGAAAATCTTGTTCAAAAGGGGGCTGAACTGTAACCTTCCATCAGAGAGGTTAAGGTCTTACTTGACAATGATGTGAATAATTTATTGGTCAGGTTGGTAAGTTCACTTCCTACTTTTCCTGCTTGGTCTTTGCCTTGGCAGCTATTATAGTGTCTGCAAAGATGAAAGCCTTCCCTTTATGAGATAGGTAGCTTTTCAATCTTGCAAAATGCTGAAATAGAATTGTGCCTGTAGGGTTTTCTTTGACATAATTGGGCCAGCATAAATTCTTCAGACACTAGACTTGAAATTGAAGTAACCAAATATCCTTATAAGGCAGCTATTAACAAAACTCCTAACCTAAAATTGGTTGGGCTGAAAGTGTGCTGCTGTGATTACACACAAACTGTCAAAGACAAAAAACAGTACTAAGTGAGGAAAAAAACCTCACTGGTCTTTGTGCATTTAGGGACAATTCTCCTGGCTGAATGTATTTTTCTTTTCATTCTAAGCTTTAGGTGATACAGGTTGTAGCTTATCTTCAAACATTGTCATGAACACCTTTGTGGTTTCTGAAAAGCAGGTTCGATTTTTGTCTTGTAGGGTCTACAACTACTACTACTGCTACTACTACTAATTTCACCACACAAAGTACAACGCCTTGTACTACAGAGACAACAGAGGAGGGTAGGTATATATTGGGATATATAGGGCCAGATTATATTCCAGGTATGAGGGATAAGTGGGCTGAGATGCCTCATTATGGTTCAACTAGCCCTGATTTCAGTCCCTGAAAAACAGT